AAGATGATTAATATTTAAGATTTTGTGACAGTAAAAACAATTAAATATCGACATTGATCTTGACTTTTTCTCTCTCTTTCTCTCTTTTAAATAAAATATTTCTTAGATGATTAACAAAATACTAATTAAAAATTTTGGAATCACAATAAGAAATCTAAGAGCTTTTTAGACAACGGAAAAAGGAGTAAATGTAATTAGAGTGGAGCGGATTGGCGATACAAAGGGAACGAAAATGATTAGCAAATTTTCACAATAATCTCTAATTGTCAAATGGGAAGATGATTTTCCTTTTCTGGTTAACAATTAGTTGAATCAACTAAAATTATTGTATTATCAAATCTGAGTAATCTTTTTCTCTTCGCTGGATTGGTTAATTATTAAATCATCTAATCATTTTTTTTTCTTCATTGGTATAGCATCAAATTGCTGTGATTTGTTATCGTTTGTTAACATTACAATTTATCAGTTGTTCAATAATATTTAATTATTGATGGTACTGAAGTTTACTGAACTGGATTTATTCATATTTATGTTTTCCCATACGAAATATCTAACTGATCTTTCTCTCCAAAAATTAAATGAAGTTATAATCAACGACGTCAGTTAGGTTGACGATTAGATGAATTGTCGAGTTCTGGGAATTCGGGAGATCGTAAAATGTAATCATCATGGTGACCATAATTGCTACGGGGAGTTCGAGGGCTGCTAAATCGCAAGTTAGCATGTCTATTAATGTTTCCTGAGATTTGCGGTGAATTTTGTTGATATTGACGCTGCGGATGAAAATTAGGTGGGTCGTTACGTTTGAGATGATGATGATGATCGTTATTATGATGATGATTATTATTGTTAAAATGTGGATTACTATTGCCAGATGAGGGTCGCCATATCGTTTGATGATTAGATGGTTGTTGACGAAAGAATTGTGGTTGATGATGAGGATAAGACTGGTGTGAATTGGTATTAGGATTGTAAAGAGTTCTATCACTTGTTCGATAACGTTCATTTGGGCTATTGGCCATAATGCCGCTCATAGAGGGAGACGATAACTCTAAATATTGTGATCGGTTTGATAGTTGACCTTGTTGGGATTTTTTAAGATTTAAACGCTGCATCTGACGCTGAACATTATGTAAAAGTGATTGTTTAGAAGGAGATTGTACTTCGTTATCCAGATACTCATTTAAAACAAATGCTTTTCGATTTCTATTTCCTTGTTTTAATTGCTTTAAAATGGCTCTTGGTGAATCACCTTTATTTTTACCTCTAATTCTCTCAGGGCAGTTATTCTTTTGATGACCAATCCTGCTGCAATAATGACATCCTCGACCTCTTGGAAAAGGTCCATCATTTAGATAACGAGCATCAAAGAAATAATCAGTCCACGAATTATATCCATCAAAATTATCAGGTTGATTACCTAATCGATTTCTTCCAAGAATTATAGAGGCTTTAATGTAACGAGCCATCTCTGATTCGATACCTTGGCCAAGATTGTGAGAAAGTAAGAATGGATCTGAAAAGAGAAGGATAAATATGAGACAAACAAGACGAGAGAAAAAAAGAGAAAATTAAATTAAATTTACACAGGGATTAAAAGAAAATCTTTTCAAGATTCTAAATAAAAGGCTTATAAACAGAGGAAGATATTAATTGGTTGACTAAACAATTACCCTCAATAGCAATACGCCTTCCAGTCCATTTCTTTTCCATTTTTGTGAGATCTTGTGATCGCCGGATACAAACAACCAATGCTTCGAATGGAAAAATTTCAGCGTAAAATTTTAAAAATCCATAGAATAGATTACCAACAGTTAGCTTATTAGAATTGTAGTGAGTCCATCGTTGTGCAAGTGAATCAATATCATCGAAAAACCATGTATTGTAACCATCGACAGTTCGCTCCGGTGGAGAGTCACCATCATAAAGCTCTTGTAAAATTGGTATAACTGGAGGGCTGCATCTTTGTAGATAGTAAAGAGTCATCAGAGTATAAGCGTAAGATGATAGACTCCCTTTGGATGCATCACAGATACCACATTTCTAAAAGAAAATGAAGATGATTAAGATTAAGATTGAGATTGAGAGGATGTTGAGAGATGTTTTTATCTAAAATTAAGAAAAGATAAGTAAAAGATAAACCAATAGTAAATGATAGAAAATGAATAAACCTTGAAAAATTGTTTGACAGTGAATCCCAACATCGCCACACGATCATCGACTTGACAATAGGTACGAAGTAACCTGGTATTATGGCTTGCGAGTAGATTGTACAGACTAATATCACAGTCGAAATGTTCTGGAGTTGATCTTCCTTTTACAATTTTTCGATTTGATTTGAATCGCAATTTAAGCACTGGAACTTTAGCCTGTGGAATTGGTTGTAAATTTGAGATCCTTTGGCCATGTTTCTTAAATTCATCAGCAAGTTTTTTAATGACTTCCGTTTGATCAATACCTCTACCATCTTCATTATCTCTAAAAGTCAAACAAATATCAAGATCACATTTTTTTGCACCAAAACCATTTTTAGATGAGCCAAAAAGTTGCAAGTTAGCGTCAGGATAAATCTCACGAACCAAACTCGTGAGTGATTCCAATATAGATTCATGAACTTGTTCATAATTATCGTCCAATCGTTCGCTGTAATAAAGTCTAGAGCAAACTTCGTCTAATCGAGCTGATTGTTCTGGAAACAAAGTGCTAGGAACAGGAATCAAATCAGGTAACTTCTCAGCGGGACAATCCTTTTTGAAATGATCGATACGTTTACATTTTATACAATACTTTTGTGGTAATTTGAAACAAGGGTTAAGATGAAACTCTAGTGTATACCAAAAGTGTTCGTGTGTAAGAGAAGCCCATCTTACACTAATTTCGTCTTTAAGACGGTAAGAAATTCCGAATTTCTTGGCCAGTTTTATATTATAAGTAAAATTAAGTTCTTTTTTACTTGCTTTTGTTTCACCACGAGATTCGTCAGCATCAAATTCTTCATCTGATCCTTTGTCTTTCGTTTCATCATCATCACTATCTTCAGAAGCCATTAACGTTCGGAAACAAGGTGAACGAAGTTCTTGGCTGAAATCGTCAAGATTAATAAGACACCTTTCTGCAGTTCGAGGAATCATGAAGTATCTGTAGGTTCTAAGCAAATTGTGTTGATAATTGTAATACAGTTCTTTTCTTCCGATACTCCGACTCAAATTATGACTATGGTGGACTGGATCTTCAACAGCAAGAATGCAGGTAGTCCAATTTTTGGAAGACAAAGTTAATTCAAGGCCACGAATGTTAACAACATTATCTCTATTGAAATCTTTGGCGTAATAAGCCAAAAGTTGTAACCACAATTGACCAAGAGTTTGTTTATTTCGTGAAGGCCAATTGCTTCTTAAAACTGAATATTTTTCTTCTATCGCTTCTTTGGATGGTGTTGATCCATCAAGTGGGAAAAGACTTGGTAAAACGGGAGGTGAAGTTTGTTGTAGAAAATGGATCACCATAATGTGAAAAGAGTGTGATGGCCAGAAACCATGATCGGCTCGATCAAATCCACAATTACGGGCCCATAATTTGAAGCAAGCGGCAAGTTTAGCGACTCTTGGATCAAAGGATTCATATTTTGCCAATAGTTCAGCAACCTCAAGACTTGAACTGGAGTAAACACCAAAATGAATTTTCGGTTTTTCTTGACCAAGAAAATGAGATGAATACCGAAACGAGAACCTTGGAGATGAGATGTCAAACTCTTTCTGAATCTCAGTATAAACTTCCATATCTAATGACATTTTCATTGCAACATTTTGCAATATCTGAGCAGAATTATATTTATCTTCATTTTCCAAAACTAATTCAACATTAACATCAGAATTGTCCAAAGCAAATCCTGATACTATTGAACCGTAGGGTCTTAAATAGATCCTTGTTCCAGGAAACCAAACATTAATTGTCGCTTCAATCTCTCGGACTGCTGCCATTCGAAGATCTTTTTGCTTTTCAGTCAATAATCTACCAGAATATCTTTCAACCATTCCATCAATGGCACGTAATTGAGCTTTACAGGGTTCAGGCAAACTGAAGATAGTGATATCTTCCTTGAATGAAGTACGTTTATTCCGATGTTTTCTATCTTCTGAGATATGCGAAGAAAGGACATATTCTTTGAATTTAATCCGACATAGTTCACACCTATAAAGATATTCTTGATCAGTCTTGCTGATACAATTCTGATTATATAAAGCGAGAAGCTGACGATCAACATTTCCATCCGTAGTCATCATGATTATCACGAAAAAAGAACAGAAATCAAAAGATCACCAAAAAAATAAAACAAAACACAAGAGAGAAAGAAAAAAGCTTCTTTGGTTTAGATGAAACCAAAACCTTGAAAGAAACTGAAGAGATGAAGGAATAAAATTTCCAGTGGAATTAAAGTAAATTGAAACCAGTGTCAAACAAAGCAATTAGTTGGACCATGAAGAACGCAAATTAAATTTAATTAAAGAGAAACCAATTAAATGAACTCAAAAGCATAAATTAAAATCCATTAAGAATCTTAAAAAAATTTTCTTAAAATGTATTTTCTCAAATCGATTGATCGATAAATTGAACAATCGAACATCGAAAAAGTGCTACCATCTCTCGAGGAAAAAACAAACTATAAATGAGAATTTTTTTAATTTTAATTTTTCACTTTTAAAATTTTTAATAATCAATTAACATTAATTATCACAAACATGAAAACTAAAATGCAAACCCAACAAAATTTGTCCGTTTGGACCTTCAGGTAATCCTGAAGTATAATTTGTATGAAACATTGGCTTGGTTGAAGTACAATTTACAATGTAAATTAAAACAGAATTTCACTAAAACTTTAATTGTACTCAAGATCTTTTTGTATTAACAATCAATTTATTGTCGAGAAATAATTTACATAAACTTGATTGAGATGAATAAAAGCAAAGATTTTTCTTCCAATTGAGAAAAAAGAAAATAAATAAATTGTTCGATGTTGATTTTAATAGTTGACAGTTTATTCAAACGCACCTTACGAATCGTTTACGATTGTGATCACAATTAATTGTTATAGAAAATGGATCTTACATATTGGGTCATATTGTAAACACTATTTCGAACACTATCAACTGTATTCGACCATCGAGCTTGTTGACCATCATGAAGAGAATCAGTTCCAATCTGATGCTCGTAGTAGGAGAAAAATTCAATCAACTTGAGCTGTTTAACAGTTCGAAGTTCATTATTAATAGATCGACATTCGACTTGGAAGATTCCAAGGGCTTTGGCTTTAGCTGAGGTGAAAATTTCCATTAAATTAGGATCCCCTGCGTAAGATTTCATAATATCATCGATGAACTGAATTCGAGCTTTTTTCAAGGCATTTTCAGCACTCGTTTCTTCATGAGAGATAAACAGTTTTTCAACATCAATCTTATTGTGATCTATGGAAACATTAATATTTAGGTCAATTTGTAAATTCTTTCAATCGATTAAATGTATTTACCATTTAATTGTTTCGCAAGTAAACTGAATCGATTAGAAACTTGCCAAAGTTTCTGCTCTTCTCCTTCCCAAGATTTGATAACAATATTTTCTGGCGACAATAAGGATATGACCAATTCTTTGAGATATCCAACGAAATCAGGTCTTATTTTGCTTATCCTTCCATCGAAATGAATATCATCAACATTTTCTCCAGGCGAAGGTAAAAGAAAACAGTCCATATCAGAGTAACATTGATCTAACGATCTCCATGACGATTCAAGTTTCGACATTTGAACGGTTCGTTTATAGTTGAGAAATTTTCGACCACCTTCATTACCATAGTTATAGTCTGAGACGTAAGCCCAATCCCTCACGAGAATCAATAACTTTTGAACAATCTGATCACCAGGTACTCGAGATTCTTGGGGAAGACATTCACTGAATTTACATAAGTTGCTTATGTCTTTACTCTGAATATTTCGTGACTGATTGTAGATTAGAGTGGAAGAAATCAGGTTGGAGATGGCGAAAAATTGTTCCTCTTCAATAGATTCACTGGAAAAACCTTGAGTGTCCATCAATAGAACTACAATCTTAGTACCATCTCTACGTTTAATGATCAATGGTTTAGACCATAACACGATACCGCGCGTATCTCTATCGATTCCAGGTCTCCATGAAAAGCCTGGAACAAGTTTGAATCTCATCATGAAATAATTCAAATGATGATGATGATCTTCAGTAAATACCTGTTAATGGTTCGTCCTCTGAACCAATCCAGTTTTCTTGGTCGTACCGTTGTAAATATCGAAGGAAAAAGTTCAAGAGAAATGATTTACCTGTTCTCGAATCGCCATTAATGGATACAATTGCCACAGGTAAATCTTTGATACCTTTTTCCAGAGATTCATCTGTAAAAAGCATATCGACAAACATCAAGTCATTGAATTGAAATTTATGAGTTTTTGGGTTTAACCAGATGATTGGTAAAGGTGAGTTCATGATTCAAATGAATTAATTGCTATCACGATGATCAAATGGAACCATAAAATTAACTACAATTTATTTCATAGATTGGCAACCAAAATTACAAAATACATCAAGTAAATACAAAAGTGTCTTTTGAGTGTTCAAAACAATAGGAAATCAATCAATTAATGATGATGGTAATTGTATCAACCTCCTGATTAACTTTGACAATCTTATCGATTGAAACAAAGTCTAATCCAAATTATAAGCATCATTGATCTAGACTATTCCATAACTTGAGTGATAATTAGGACAATAGGAAAATGAAGTAATTTGTTAATTCGTCAACATAATTATCGTGAATTTAAGAGAAGCGAAAAAAATTTTCATTGGAAATTAATTACAATTACAATTTCCTGATGTTGGACAAAACAATTTATTCAAAAGATCCGCATTTTCACAACTCATTTTGTTTGGTCTTTAAGAACCTTTGTAAATTGTTTAGGACAATTTATCTTTGTTCAGTTTTCTCTCCATCTTTAATGTTATCCTGTTTAACTGAAAAAATTGAGAATTTCTAATAAAATGTCTTCAGTTTGTAATAAAGAAGATATTTTCTTTGGTGTTTACTTTTATTTGCCTTATGATACAAGAATCTCACCGAGTCTTTTTAAATTTGTTATTTCTGCCCCAAATAATCAAGTTGAAGATTCAATTTTGGATTTTGAAAGTGTTCCAACTATTTGTAAGCGTTGGTTGAATGTAAAAATGACCATTACCAAAGGTTTCAGGATTTATCTCGATCAGGTTGACATGATTCTAGTGATCAAAGGTAACTTGGTACCCGTTTTCGACCACATTGAGGTAGAAGCTCTATTTCCTTCATTTGTGAAGGATAATCTGGATTCTATTGATTTGGATAAATTAAGTTCGCTACGGCTCATTTTTCCGGGAATTAGAACAATTTGTATTGAGGTACCAGCAAGGTTCAAGGATGAGTACCAAGGTGTTGAGCTTTTCCGAGCTGATCTTGGCCGTTTGAATTACCCGATTGATTAATAGTTAGCTGTTAAGAACCTTTATCATTTTGACTAATAAATAATTTTTCGAATTTTGGATCATCTTTTAATTGTTGATTTATTTTCTTTGATGGTTAAATTGGGAAATTAGAGAAACAAGCAAATTGATTGGCGAGATTGTTTTTGTGTCTTGGAATGAAAGTTGAGCTTGGTTTTAATTGTAACAATTTGTCGACCAAATTACTTTGAATCGCTCCAGTGTTGAGAATAATTTTCTCCTTTTTCAGATAATTAATCGTCTCGGTGACTTTGGTGAGACATTCTTCCGATAGAAATGGAGGATCACAAACAATAATATCGAAAAAAGAACTGGACAAAACTTCTTTTACGGCCAAAGGATCACGATAATCATAGAACACGAAATTAGGTCCTAACCGAGCGAATCGTTGATCAAATTCAAGAAGATAAACTTGAACATCAGAATATTTGTCATTTTCCTTAATCATGGAAAGTAATTTAATGTAAACAGTTGGACATGAGATGCAACCGATTACTCCATTTCCATTGATCGTTTTAATGAGAGAATCGGCCAAGAATTGGGTCGTTTCTTCATCGTACCAGAATTGACTCAATTCCTTCAATGGAAGGAAAAGAATTAGAATCACAATTAGAATTAGAATAAGAAACAAATTGTAAATCAAATGATTATTAATACAAAGTTCTAACTCACCCAATCTTCAGAGAAGCTCTTTGAATCATCTTGTTGATTGTTTTTCTGTTCCAAGAGAAATTCATTCAATGCTGCCAACGATTCAGCCGAAAGATGAGGAGGATCATCATCATCTTCGAGATTCGACATTTTGTTTACAAACAACAATTGGAAATCACAATTTGCAACAATGTTTAGATTGTAAAGTTTAGAATTGGAAAGAGACAAGATTTTAATTGTTACCAAAGTGATTTTCTTGGCTCGAAATTCAATCTCATTGATTAGTTGATTTTCTTGTGAATATTGAAAATTGCGCTCAACTATTAATTCACTTGAGTGAAAAACCGATTGGATTTTTTTGAAAAAGTTTTTTCTGTTTTGATTTTTAAATTAAAAATTTTTGAATCTTGTTTTACAAATTGTGACCTGTGTACCTATTGAATTATGATGAACGAACCTTTGAAAGTATTTTATTTTAATTCGCGATGGAATACATTCGTTTTCGATGAGAAACTTTACTCTCAGTGGTTATCATCATTCAATGAAAAGCACCGAGATTTACCTGTTGCTATTGTTTCCATTGTCGGTGATGCGAGAAAAAGAAAATCTTTTCTTTTGAACTTTTTCCTTCGATATTTACAACGACACGATCAAGAAGATTGGATTGGTGATCTGGATGAACCATTAAGAGGTTTCTCATGGAGAGATGACGTCGAGCGAGATACTATTGGAATCGCTTTATGGCCTAAACCTTTTGTATTGACACGAAAAGATGGTTCAAAAATTGTTGTTATTTTAATGGACATTCAGGGTTTTTATGATGATCATAATGACCACGATACAATCGGTCAATTTTTCATCATTTCAACAATTATTTCATCGATTCAAATCTATAATCAGAAGGGAAACATTCAATCAAATGATTTTACAATTTTATCAAAATTCAGTGAATATGCTAATAAAGTCGGGTTAGAAAATGGTGTTGACGGCTTTCAGCGATTGCTGTTCGTGATCCGAATTTTGTCTAAGTCAAGAGAACTTGAATTTGGATTCAAGGGGGGAAACAATTACCTGAAATACAAGAAAGAAATTCATCTGGATAAATTTTGTTCTCCATGGGCAAACTTGGAGAAGTGTTATTCGGACATAGGTTTTTTCTTGTTACCTTCAATTGGAGATCGAGCTGAAGATCTTGATTTTAATGGAAAAATAAGTAAACTGAAACCTGAATTTGTCAAAGCTCTTAGAGAATTGGTTCCATCACTATTAGCACCAGACAGAATTGTCACCAAATCAATTGGAGGAGAAGAAGCTCAATGTTGGCAAGTCCTGAATATCTTCAAGAAATTAGCAGAAAGTAAAGGTATTTTCTTTTTACCTTCAATGAGGTTTATTTATTAATAATTATTTATCTTCTTTTATTTTTTCAAGCAATGGAATCAATTAAGAAATCTCAAACTATAAAAGACATCTCGCAAATCATTAAGGCTTCTTATCATTCCAAAACCCTTTTCCATTTCACTTTTCAAGAGAAAGGGTTTCTTTTTGCCCAGGAATTGTCTATTCGAATGTACGACAACGAAATACAATTAGTTCATGGTGAAAAAATGCTCGCGTCTTCTGCTCGGGATGATTTGTTTGTTTACTTTGGAAGTTTGCTAAATAATTACATCAAGATTAATGAAGCTTCCATCAATAGACCGAGTAAAATTGATTGGGTCAAGATGATCGGAGTTGGAGCATTTGTTGCCTTTACTGTAGCGAGTCTTGTCTTGCTGAAAAGGCCATGAACTTTTAAAATGTTTCTTAACACTCATTTGAAACTAAAAGATATATGTATCCTAAATGCTCCCTTTGTGAAATTTTTCAGAAATTGATAAAATTTTGATAATCGACTCGAAAGCAATCAAATGGAAGTACACGCGCTAAGGAAATCGACAGGACTGGAGTTCCAACCAATAATTTAATAGATTGGGTCACTAATAATATAATTAGAGGTGGACGTTTAATTGGCGCTACTATTTCTACTCTTATTTTGCGAAATAAGCCTACAAAAAAACTCATAAAGTCATGAGTTGTACTTTTCTCAACATTTAACGTTATATGGAACCTCAACTTGGAGCTGAAAGACTCAAAAAGTACAAATAATATTTATTAAATATCTCCTTTGAAAGATTCATTCAAAATGTCCAAATTTTGATCACACTTTCGATTCTAAAGCTTTCTCGATGAAGCGGAGTGACATTGATTCGATGGAGATCTGTAAATACAAACGGTGTCTCAAAAAACACTCGCCCAAATGGAAACACATCTTTCATACTGGAAACTTTCGAGTCAATTTCCTCATTGTGAGCAGAATAAATTCGACCAATTCCGAAAAGAGCCGAAAAACTGTTAATTGGCAAAGATCACACGTTCTCAGCATATCGGTATCCAAAGTGACCATAAAATTATTCAATTTCTGTGGACTCAAAAGTCTTGAAATTACAGTTAATCCATTAATAAAAGCGGATGATTTCTGTAATTTAAGACTGTGAAATTTTCCATAGTATCCTAAACATGTAATGATTTAATATAATTTCAATTTGACGTTGTTATTGGATATAAGATATTAACGTTATTATCAAAATGATAAGTTGATTTATGAGAACCATGATAACGATAAATGATGATGATGAGAGTCAATTATAACTTTCATGTTATCTGTTGCTATTTTCAAAATGAAACTACTAACAAGCCAATGACAATATCATCATCTCATGGATGTTAGTTTAACTTGAACATGATGAGAGTATATTAATTATCATCTAAAAGGAAATGGAAAGATGACAATAATGATGATAATAAATGAAACCTTCAAAATGAAAAACAATCTCATCTCATGAAAGATCATACCAATAGTTTGGATTGTGAAAAACTGGACATGGATTGATTAGATTCATCATGATGATGGTCATCATCATCATCGATTGGTCATCATTTTCATTCTCGTTCATCTCAGTAATATCATGTTGTCTTACTATCTAACATTAATATCTTTATTATTATCATCATTATCATCTCTTGAAATGTGATATTTTCAGAGGATAAATGCAATTGGAAGACAAATGAAGATGGAGGAATCAAAGGAGGAAAAGGAAAAGTTGAGAAAATCAAGATTCTCATGGGTTTTATATGTTGATTGATGTGAAAAAGATATTTTCACATCTTTGGATATATTTATTTTTTTATTTCGATTTAAGATTATCCCATCATCATCTTGATCATCATTTGTATCTGCAACATTAAACCATCATCAATAATATCGTTATCATCATTATCAGAGTTCAGAAAGAGAGAGAGAGAGAGCCAGAAATCAATGACATATCAAAATGAGAAATGATAACTGATAGTGAAGGTGAAATAATGATAAAAAGTGATAACAATAATATCAAATACTCGGATATCCGTAAACACAAAGATGGATAATCCTTTATGCTCATTTGATGTAATATGTCACCAATCCAATTAGATTAACATAAGTTAATACGGACCAATAATCATCATCATCACCACGATAACCATTAGTATTTGTTATTGTTTCAATACTTTTGTTTCAATCAACTAATCTCAAGAAAAATCACCAAAGATTAAATCACTTACAGTTTGAGTTGAATATCAAACAATAAAAAAGTATTCAAATCAGCAAATTGAACATCAATCATAATACTTTAGATGAAGTTTTATTTTCTAATCATATCCAATTGATTTAAAGCTTTGAAAACAATCAAATTAAGTTGAAATGGAAAACATTTCAGTTTCAATAACCATTCAATGAAGGAGAGATACTGAATCGTTTCATTGATAAAATGCTTTGAGTTTTTTTTATCAATGAATATCAATTGTTATTCATAGGGAAGGAAAATTTTGGCGAAAAAAATTAGGTCAAGATGAGATAGATAAGTTTCCGAATCTTATATATATAAAACATGAATATTAGTCGAACATGAGAAAAACTTATGACTAGATAACATCTTCTTTTGCATTATAACCTTTAACTGGTCACCTTTTTTTCTGTTAACCTTTGGTGACCACTGTCCATTCATTCAATGAACATCAGAGCAAAAAAAACAGATAAAGAAAGACCATAAAGACTAATCAACCAATTGTCCATCTTTTGTATTCTATTATTTATTTTTTGTTGCTTTCACTTTCTATCTGGAATCGTAAACTTATTTATGTGTATTCAGTGAGATGGTCAATCTGTTCAAACAAATCATCAATCAATCAGCTGATAAGAAATCAATCTGTTAACAATCGATCACCGATTGTCTTGTTATCAGGCAAAACCAAAAGCCATCACCAAGTGATCATCAACTATCACTACCATTTAATCAATCAATCAAATAATCATTCAATTAACTTTCAGTTGAGATGAACTAAAATCACGATGAAACTTTGTTTATATCGTTAATGATGATGATCGTTTCAAACGTAATATTATTATTATTATCATTTAGCTAAAAATAAGCAGAAACTTTCATCTGAAAAGATTTACGTTAAATTGTTGCATTAAACTTTCGTTTACCATTAGGTAGGTACACGAATAGAAAGTAAATTCACAAATCATTAGCCTAAGGCAATTTACTCTACATTATCTGGGAAAGAGTTTACTTCAAATATATGATGAAAAAAAAAGTAACTCACAGAGGATCAGAATTTGTGATGAATAAAAACTCAACTTCAACTCTATTTACATGATTATTGTCAGATAAATATTCCAGTTCCTTGTGAATACCATTATCGTCATTAGCAATTGTTACCCGGAAATGGAAACAGTTATTAGGTAAATCTTACATTTTCACCTTTCAAATCAAATGATACTAATAATCTGAGTATCAAATTCAATTCATGATCATTTCATGTGAGTTTATTGATTTTTTTTGTTCATTCTCAAGGTTAACAAGGAGCTTTATTTAATCTGAGAATCTAAATCATGCCTCCATTCAAATACAATTAAATTAATAGGGATCATATTTTTCAATATGATTACTAAATTTTGTGATTTAATGATAATGCCTGAAACTGATGGTTATCTGTGGTGATTACAATTCAATTGATTGTTTTAAAATTAATGATCTCATTTGCTTTTAATGATCATGGTTCAGGGTAAAAGTTTCATTTTAAATTGTAAATAATAATTTTCTGCTCATAATATTTAAATGGGTCTGTTTTTGACCTTAAAAGAAACAATAATAAGCCTTACAATCAAATTGTTCCCAATAACCATAAATATAATTATTTCTCGATCACTGAATATGATTTGTAAAGGATAACACAGATTCGTAGCTAATTAAAATGTTAGACCAATTCGATCGTTTTTTTTGCTATTCAGTCAAATGATATTAATTTTCCTTTTCGATTCTGACAGAATGATGGAAAATCTCATTATCAGATGAATCAGAATGATCATTTTCCTTTGATAGATATCAACAATAATATCGATATTTCCTTTAAGATTTAGGTCTCTTACTCTTTCAGATAGTCTATTTACATCATCATCATCATAGAAAACTTTAAATCTTGAATAAAAATTATATTCTCATGAGGGTTTTCTCCTTCCATGATAAGTAATAGAAAGAGAGAAATAGAGTATCTGATGAATTCGTGTGAATACTTGAAACTGGAAATGTTTACGTCGATCAAAAATTTCAACACAACGTGAGATGCATACAATCAACATGATTATAAAGTTTGAAACTCATAACTGATAAGGTAAAAACACTGTTACATATTCAACACATAGACTGATACACATACACACACCTACATGAATCTACATATAAAAATATCAGGTGAATTATTATTGGCATGATGATGAAGAGAGAGATAGAGATGAATATGCCTGAGGAGTAACTCGAAGCACATCAGAGGTAACTCAAGACTCAAGACAAAAACACCGTCTCAAGTGGATGAGATGATGATAGAAACATGGAACATGAAAGAGAGAGAGTAAAATTTTACCTCTTTGAATTGTAAGTAGAAAATGAAAAATAATCGTTGGAAAACTGAAAGCGTCAACTGATGAAGAAGATGAAAAGTTGATGAACCATCGGATGATAAAAGATTATTACATTAATGTATTCGAACAACGTTTTCGTTTCTCTCTCTCTATTTTATCTTTTTAGGTCAAATGTTCAATATCGTCCAAGTTTCTCGTATTTTTGCTGCTTCTTTGTCTGTCTTTTGGTCGATAAGAGATAAACACCAGAGTTCCATGTACAACATTGCATATAAATCAAATTCATGATGGGACAAGAACTAAGAAGAAACTAATTCTTACGAATGGTGGGAAGAAAAAAAAGAAGATAAAATTCTGAGAAAAAGAAAGAATAAAATTATTATTACTATTATTGAAGAGGTATTTTTATCACAAAGAAAGAGATAAAAGTTAGAATAGAAAAAAAGATGACCATCAGTATGACAATGATTATGATAAAAGATGAAGAGGAACAATAAATTTATTATTAATAGTGAGATGACCAAAAAGATACAATTCAATTGACACTTTTCTTTATGCATCACATCCTGTTATCAGAACTTTCAATGTCTCCACATGCACAAATTTATTCAATAAAAAGGAGGGAACAAGAATAGGAATGGTCATGAAAATCCCATGATGGTCATGGGGCATCTTTTCAAAAATTCTCTAAATGAAAATAGCAACAAGCTAAAAAAAGATTAGATTCTTTTTTTACTCAATTTCTTTTTCTTTGGATTTCAAATTTTGTCCAGAACTTTGAACACCATGTATTCGTTGTCTTATTGAACAGTTATTATGTATGATGACCAAAATTCTTGGATTTTTCTTTTTTTTCTTCAGTTGAACCAGAAAAATGAGGAAGAAAACTCAATCTAGATAATAAAAGTGAAGAGATTGAGAGAAAGAAAGAAAGAAAGAAAGAAAGAAAGAAAGAAAGAAAGAAAGAAAGAGATGATCATGAAGTTTCATCTTCTTTTCCCACCCTAACGTTGAACTTACCTTTCTTTACATTTCATTATCTCTATTATTAAATACAGTTATCATTGATTCAGCAAAATTCATTGATTCAATTTATGTCACCTCTTCATTCATCTCAAGTTTGAGATGAATTTATCCCATTTTCCGAACTCATATCATGATAGTTTTTCACCTTTTACCTCACGATCATGACTCTGAATCATATGACATGATGAATGTAGTTGATTGATGAAAAGAAGAAAAAATAAAATAAAATTGCAAAGAATGAACCAGAAGAGATCAGAGCGGAAAAATTAGATTTAAAAAAAAACTTATACTCGATAAAAGCTACTGACCTTAACAAGAGATTCCAACATGATCTCTGATGAAATATCACTAACTATTCATGATAATTTCAATCTTCATCTCATGGAAAAAAATTTTCCAAATCCATCTGATCGCTTTGAATTATTTGACAATATCAAATGAATATTAATGATCCCTAATGTATACCATCAGTATAAACCAGCCTGGTAACGATCACTGTACACGATGAACCCTGAGGCCATGTTATGAGCATTTGATCTTAACGGAAACGTTAATCTGATTTAGTTGTTCCATTTCAACACTTTCCACTTTGGATAGAGATATCCAACATTATCTGAGGATAGAGCTTTTTCCCACACATACAGGGATCATCATATGTTGATTCTTTATCATGATTGCGTGTCAGCTAATAAAATACCAGAAGCAGAAAAAAATGATGCAGATAAAGTATTGAAATATCTGATTCTGTTTCTCCTCTCAAATTCAATTTGCCTCAAGATACACATTTAATATATGTATTTATAGCATCAGTCCGTGAATATTATTGACCAATAGACTTCATATGATCATCTTTGCGTGTCCAAATGTTGTGACAGACGAAAGATCATCAAAATATTACATATATCATATTAGATAAATATCAATGAACATAATCTATCATATGATTCAGAACTTTTCTCCCAAATTATTCTGATTCTTGAGTGAAAAAGGTATTTCCTTCCTTGAAAATGAACAAATTGACATAACAGTTATTCAACATTTCGACGTCAAAAAAATTTACCATGTAAAATTTACGAAGGAACATTTTTAATCGTG